GGGAGAGGAGAGGAGGGGAGGGGAGGGGATTCATTAGAAAAGGCTTTTTCTAAGAATTTCTAGAGCCTTGGCGCCAGAACAGATCTATGAGGAAGCACAAAGTCTACCATGGTTCCAAGACCACCCCAGGTTCAATGATTCACTAGGAGAACTCACAGGACTCAGCCTCTACCCCCAGTTGTTATAGCAAAAGGATACAAAGCAAAATCAGCAAAGGGAAATGGCACTTGGGGCAAAGTCTGGAGGAGACCAGGCACCAGCTTCCAAGAGTCCTCTCCCAGTGGGGTCACACAGGCTGTGCTTAATTCCTCCAGCACTGAGCTGTGGCAACACGTGTGAAAGTCCACCAGGGAAGCTTGTCAGACACTCAACACCCAGGGTTTTTAACGGGCGCTGGTCACCCCCTCTGCCTGGCATGTGCCGAAATTCCAAACTCTCAGAAGGAAAACAGATACTCAGCCTAAATCATATTGTCTGCGCAGTTTTGGCACAGCGAGCCACGCTGTTCTGCAAATGACGGGCACCTTTTAAACATTCAAGTTCCCTAAACCAACCACACTGGGTGAAGCAGGGCTTCGAAGGATAGCAGTCTGGGGTCTCTTTTCCACACATCTGCGAATGCACCCAACAGTGGCCCTGAACAGTTTCTGATCTTAAAGAAACTAAGTATAATTTTAAATTTAAAATGAAGAATACCTGTCAGCAGCTCATACCTTTAGCTATCTTCTGACACTTTAACTTTCACTCATTTTTAAGCAATAACCAAATCGGCATGAGAGCTTTTGTCTTTACGTGCCTTTTAATGAAAACAAATACCTCTTTGTTAATTTTGTTGGTTTCTGCCACTCGGTCGGCCAGGACGGGGTGGTGAGCTGGAGGTGCAGGGATCGGCTGCATGGCGATCAGCTGGATCTTACTGGGGACCCGGCGACTGGCCTCAGAGGAGCGGGAGATCCTGTCCACGTGCTCGAAGATGGAGGCGGATGAGTGCTGCTCGTTCCCTGAACTGGGCGGTGGAGGCCCTGGAACAGAAGGAAAAGAAGGAAAATAAATATATAAAGTCATCCTAAAGAAACCGCAAATAACCAAAATTATGGATTAATCCTTAAAGAATCCACAGATGGGCTCCTGACCAAAAACACATCCCTACTTTGTGGCCTATGTGAGCTTAAATTATCTGGGTTCAGGATCATCTCTTTCAGCCTCATTAAGTTACAAATATCATTAGAAAAGATTATGGGAAAATCCTTATGACACTTTGTGCCAAAAACTGCCCTGTTTTGTCTACAGGGATTTCAAAGTCTTCAGTAAGAGAGGGCAAAGGGCAGAAGGAGCCTGAAGTTGCTCAGTCAATCGCAATTTGTGGAACTTACAGCAGCTCTGATCTTCCACTCTTATTTGCAACGATTTACATTTAGCTGCCAAGGCAATTACACTAAAGATGCAGGGACTGTGGACATGCAGGCATTCGCTGATGAACAGTGAACCCTGCTGGGTCTTCTAATCTGATGCAGAAAGAAAATTAAGTTGAAGAGGCATGAGAAGAAAAAGCTGTTGCCTGGAGGAAATTCATTCCCACTTTAAAAAGAGATGACAGGCCCGACCTGTGTGGCTCAGTGGTTGAGCGTCAACCTATGAACGAGGAGGTCACGGATCGATTCCCGGTCAGGGCACATGCCCAGGTTGTGGGCTCGATCCCCAGTAGGGAGCGTGCAGGAGGCAGCCGATCAATGACTCTCATCATTGTTTCTCCCTCTCCCTTCCTCTCTCTGAAATCAATAAAAACATATTTTTAAAAATTTTTTTAAATAATAAAAAGAGATGATGAATATACTAAAAAATGGTTAAAAGGGGGAAAATTATTTTAAATAATTTTTTTTATGAGTAAAAGAGTATATGTATGGCATGTATGTTTTACCACAAATGAATTTTTTTTTAAGTAACCAGAACCGCAAAAAGAAAAAAATTTAAATGTATAGATAGAAAAGAAACAACTTAAAATGTTAACAAACTAAATCTTGGTATAATGGGTGATTTTCTCCAATTTCTTGTATTTTCTCTAATGAGTATTACTTTTATAGTGGAAATAATCCTAATGAACTTTCATTTTAAGAAGTCAAAAAAGGAGATGGAGATAGAGATAGATGAGAGGGGCAGAATACATGAAAGACCTCCACAGAGCTACTTAGACACACGAAGACCACTGATGTCCCTCTGATAAGCCACAGTTACCTCCGGGAGGTCCGGATCCTGCTTTAAATTAAGTGGATCGCAAGCCAAGAGAAGGAGTGAGCACAAAGGAACTGTCTTCAAACAAAAGCCTGAGGTTTGAAACCTCAAGCGTAACTGGAAATTATGGAGGTTTCTCCTCATAAAGTTGAACAAAGCAGTAAGAAATAATAGTTGATATTTGATATAAGCAATGCACACCGATGCTATGTAAGTCTCGGTATTTCCTCTCCATTTACATTCTATTCCTTTGTTGCCCCAAGCGATTAGAAATGATATATACAGCTGTGAGTGAGCATCGTCTCTCTCAGCGAGGAGGCCTAGCTGTCCGGATTCCGGCTTTCTTCCCTATTTGTCAGTGCAAGCGGCCAGGCAACCACCACACATCTGGTGGCAGCTTCTCAAGTTGCAGGCACAAGGCCTAAAAGGAGATCGTAAGCTGCACCAGAGAGCCTGGCCTTGCTAGCCTCATAAAGTGATAGCAAACTCATAAAGTGATAGCAAATGTCACAAAGGACAGCCCGTTAAGCACCTGATACCTACAGGTGCGGTCACTTTCCTCCAGGATGGTAAAAAGACCGGGGTGCAGAGAGCTCCAAGTGGCTGCAACGCAAAGGGGGAGAAGGAAGGACGGCCCCTCCCCCTGCGCTGTCTGCCCGCCTGGGTACCACAGAGCTGCAGGCCTGTGGCTGGCTCCTGTCCACGCTCCATCCCACCCCCACTGCGGTCACAGATCCTCGCTCTATAATTCACCAACTGCAACCGCAGAAGAGGGGATGCACAGGAAACCCTCAAGCTTCCAAACTGCCCAGAGCCCAGCCCTTCTGATGGCTGAAAAGAGGGGTTTATTATTTGTCATATACATATAAATTTGTCACATATAGGATGTATGTGTGCATGTATAAACACACGCCCCAGTTTCTATCTATACGTTTATGTATTTTATTACTTGCTATGCATTGCACATTTAAAAAAAAAACTACCTGTAAAATAATGGCCAATGGAAAACAATGCATACGCAGAGATTAATGCAGTGTGAATCCTGCCTTAAGACAAGTAGGGACTTTGGATTAAAACACCTTTCTCTTTAAATATAACATAAACAAAAAAATATGATAGAAATTACAGCATCAGATATCAACAAAAGAGAATTACAGAGGAGCAGGTGATCTGAATAACAGGAATGCACGAGCAATAGGACATTTTTAAAGAAATATTATTTCATCACCTCTAGGTAAATACAGTCCCACTGCCTTATTTTCAATGCCTGTGACCCACGTTAGCATCCTGTGAGGCAGGGGCCACGCGCATCTTCTTCATCCTATCCCAGCACCTGCCCATCACAGGCACTTAGTAAACGTTCGCTGAGCGGATGACCAGTCCCCTCAACTAAGTTGATAAAATGTTACCTCAAAGAGGCCTCTGGAAATCTGCCCTAATGAAAAGATAACTTACGATGTCAATCATTTTGTAAATGGATGCTCCACAATTTCTTGAAAAACTTTGGTGTTACATGTAGTCAAAATAGCCGCCGTGCAATCGAGTTAAAAATCTAATTTGCTTTGCAGACTCTTTAGCAGGTGTCAAGGTAGGTGTCAGCCTAGTTCCTATGTGACAGCCTAGAATTTGGACTCTGTGGACGTCATATCAATGAACTTCTACTTACTTGAAAAATTGGCCCCTTGCTCACATGCAACCTACGGAGAGTGTCAAGAAAACACTCCGCGCACTGCTGGGAATATTCCTGATACAGGAGAGAGGGGAGCATCATGTCTGGCACAGCAGGGCCGCTCCACAGGCCACCTCCACTCGGGGAAGGCATGCGCCTCCTCCTCGACCCGGTCCTCACAGCTAGTGGCACTGATGTGACTTATTCTAAACCTGCAATGACTGTGAGCATGGTGACATTTGCATAAATCATCTTGTAAGGGTCCGGGGACAGTCGAGCCAGCTTCCAAATGGTCAGCTGGGAAGGGAACCACAGCACAGCCTCGAATCGACCGAAATCCAAACAATGGTCTCTTCTGCGCTGCAGGCGCAAGGTGGGTCCTGAAAACCCCAGACGACGGCGACGGCCCTGCCACCCCCTGTGGAGAGAGGGGACGCTGGTCCCCGGGCAACACGGACGAGGGTCCCAGAACGGTCTCAAGCAACCGCCTGCCTTCACTGATCTGTATTTCAGCGTGACTGACACATTTTATGTGAATTACAGAATAATTCAAAGGCTATGGTTACAAGCTCGGAATCCTTTTACAGGGGATTTAACTGAGTTCTATGTAAGCAATAAAATGCCTGTGTGGCAGGCGGCGCTATCCCTTTAAGGAAGTAAACAGAGTTTTAAAAGTGAATTGATATTTGCAGTGAGAAAACCGTCTTCTTAAAACATGGAAATAATGCACAGATTCTGGTGTCTTCAGATCGGAGCTTCTAATACTCACAAGAACATCTAATCCACTTGTCCCCTCCTGCTGTCACCTCTGTCCCAAAGCTGACATGCCCACTACTGGGATTTTGAATATACATTGAGAGCAATACTGATTTTTGTTAGGTGTGTAGAACAGACTTGTTGTAATCCTATCAGTAAGGAGTTAAATGTGGGAACTAAAAGCAAGACTTTCTCAGGTACGCAAAGAAATCGAGAAACTCCAGAGCTGACTCTCTTTTTCAAATATTTCTTTCCCAGGATCAAAAATGAGATTTCAATCCTCTCTCTCTCTGAAACAGTGCACCTGTTACCATGGTGCTAAGTCATTTTTAAGATTCTGTGAAACTGGATCCAAAGAAAAACCTCTTCCCTTTATTCTGCGGGGAAGATTAACATCGAAATGAAACACCTGAGAGGAGCTGGCAGGGACCTCAGAAATCAGCTCCTTTAGTCTCACAGACGCCCCAGAGGCCAAGGGACTTACTTGCAAGGTCACAAGCATGACAATGACAGAACAGGCCCTCTGGCTTCCGTCCCAAAACTGGTCCCTCTGTACCGCATTTTCATACAGAGAAACTTGTGAAGAAAAATACAAGCATAGGCATTACTATTAAAAATCACGTCCCAAGGCACCCGGTTTTCTCTCTGTTACAGAAACATCCATAATCTCCAGCAAACACGAGGGCTACACTAGCACTTTTGTTAACAGAATCTATTGACCTAAGACCCAGCCACCTGTCATCATGCCAGAAAATGCTTCCAAGTCTGTAAGACCCACGGGGTTCATTTTTTTTAAAGGGCATGAGGTTCACGGTTCTACCACTTAGAATGGGAGTGAAGTTCATTTCGGACCTGGCCGAAGAAGCTACAGCACCTCACTACAGACACAAAGATGCTAAAATATCCGATCACACTGGACTATCCACCAGAGGGAAAACCAGGACCAAATCATGTACACTCGGACCTACGACAAATGCACAACTTCCTGACAGCGAGGGCTGTGACGTCCTTGAATTGGATGCTAAGGAGGTCACTGCAGCCTGGAGGCAGTTTTTGAGACGCTGGTTTTAGCCAGATTCTTCATTGTCCTTCAGGAAGGAAAATCATTAGAACTGGAAGGTAGAATGAAACATGGCTATGAGCCTCAGAACACCCCCAGGAGTCCCTAACCTCCAGCAAGCACCCCCGGCCTGTCCCACCCACCCCGCCTCAGCGCAGACACCAGCCCCTGCCAGACAGTGACCCGCGATGCCGAGACCTTCGCCACGCGGACCATGAAGGCTCCACTGCACGGGTTATCTTTCTAAGGCCAGCATTTGAAGAATAAAACCCTCGCCTCCTGGGACCTCATCACTATCACTTGGAGCCTGGAGAGCGAGGAGGGTCACAGGCCGCTTTGTGGGCTCTGTGAGGCTCTGGGGGACTCTGTGGGGCGCTGTGGGGCTCTAGGGGACTCTGTGGAGCGCTGTGGGGCTCTGTGAGGCTCTGGGGGACTCTGTGGGGCTCTGTGGGGCTCTGTGGGATTCTCTGGGGCTCTGGGGGGCTCTGCGGGACTTGCCGTCATTCCCCGCGCCCGGCGTCTTGTCTCCCGCTTCCCTCTCGCTGGACTCTTCGCTTACGGTGGAGTCGGCATCCGAGGGCGAAACTCTGCAGACACGGAACAAACGTCAGGGTTAGGAAACGGAAAGAAAAGGGGGGACGGTCACGTTCATCTGGATGTGGAAGTCGGGCCTCCAGGCAAGACTGGGAGAAACGGGGACAATCCAAAAAATGATTTCATGCCGTGACATCTTCAAGGACATCCATAGCACTTGGTTACCTCCTGCAGGCAGTGTAACCACACAGGACAGGGCCCAGCAGGCTGCATTTCAACAAATGCTAGGCAACTAGGGGCCAGATTAGGGGACGGTCCCTCAGCTACCAGGGCAGTCTGGGTCTGGCATGGGTTGGGTCAGAAGATCTGGAGCTCGGGCCTGGCACAGGGTGACCTGGGTCTGCGGGATCTCTAGGAAGCCAGGGGTGTGCGGCACTTACCCCACAGAGCTCCAGGTCTTTGGACGGAGCCTACACTTACATCCCCACTGAGATTTGATTCCGTATCTAAAGAGCAAGGGCAGTGGGGAGCCAGGGGGCACCGGGCTAGTAAAGATCCTTCCCCAGTGGGCACCCCTCTCTTGGTGCTGCCTGGCTTAAACAGCAGGCTGACATGCCAGCATATTCTGGGGCCCGTGAGGGAGGCTGAGACGTTACATTAACCACACAGGCCATCGAGATGTCGTGACTACATGTTTAGGATGAGACTACAAGGGAAGGAGAAAGACTGCAAAATTGTACTCGCAAATCCTTAACGATTTATGCTTAGCCTGCGAGATAATTAAGCAAATAACATGTCTCTCCATAATGCAGTTTTTTTTGTAAAGATCACGTTCTAGCATCCATTAAATTCTTAAAACTAGGCCAGAACCCCCGGGTAGGTTTTCTGATGTCAGAAATTATAACATCGTTTCAAATCTTGGTATGATCACACACTTTTTCCTTCGGCGGAAAATCGGGATTCGGGGCATCGAAGCTCAACGGAAGGCTGATAACTTGAGGGTTTAATAACCAAAGCTAGACTGTGCGATGATCTAAAGTCACCTTGACGAAGCCTGATTCTGAACCTGGTCTCCTCTAACAGAGCTGTGGCCCTTGTCACAAAAAGATGTGATGAAGGTCACCTGCGGACGGTGCAATGAAGGGACAACAGGCCAGAACAAAGCCAGTACTGGGTGTGTATCATGTGCTATGTGCCTTTAAGACATTATTTCTGATATTTCCAGAGGCCAAGCATGCTCACACCAGAATATATACTCTTGAGCTGGCCAATCCCTAATCACAGGGGGACCGCCAAACCACAATGGACAGTGATTCATACTCTTAAGTGCCTTGGGGAAAGAAAGGGACAGCGTCCTTTGCTAGTCCATTCGAGTGGCTCAAGAGCCCTCGGGTTCGCTGGCTTCGGCAGGCTGTGGCCAGTCTCCTGGGCTGCAGACCTGGGCAACACTCACCGTCAGCCCTTCGGACACTGAAAGGGAAACATGCTCCGAGACAGAGGACGATGCAGAAAGCCCAGCACGAACCTTCCTCGGTGACGGACGTTCTTGGAGGGGACTGTGGCCTTGGGGCTCGGGACGTCTCCGTTTTCCGAGGGCGTGGTGTGGTCCTTCACAGGTCCCGGCAGTGGAGCCGGCTCGTGGATGATCAGGATGTCGTCCTTACTGTGCTGGCCCAGGTGCTGCTTGGCAAAATCGAAGCCCTTCACGCTGGGGATCTGCAGCTGAAACACACAGGCGAGGGGCCACCTGAACTCCGGCGACTGTAAACGAGACTGTGCGGGCTGGCGAGGTTGTGCCTGCCATCCCACCAACCTAATACCGCAAGCATCTCTAAAACGACTCGAGCGTGCAGAGTGCCATTTGTACCTCAAGTTTACAGAAAAAATAAGTGTTTGCCAAAAATTAAAGAAGGGTACAAGGATTAAATAGCTAGACCATAATACAAAAGAAATCACAGGACGATACCTGGCCCACTGTCATAGTAGCATTTTGCGATTCCAGAGAGAGTGACACGGGCACAATATTCCACAGAGAGAAATGGGGACTTGTGGCAGGACTTGGAGGACAGACAGAGCTTAGAAATAAAAAGAGCGCCCAGCCAGCGTGGCTCAGCAGTTGAGCATCGACTTATGATCCAGGAGGTCATGGTTCAATTCCCGGTCAGGGCACATGGCCGGGGGTTTCAGGCTCAACCCCCAGTGAGGGACATGCAGGAGGCAGCCGATCGATGACTCTCTCTTATCATTGATGTTTCTCTCTCTATTCCTCTCCCTCCCTCTCTCTGAAATCAATAAAGACATATTTTTTAAAAAGACATAAAAAGAGGTAGCAACACAGAGTGTGTTCTGGGTTGTGTTGGGGACCAGAGAACCCTAGTGGCTGGAAAGAGATCTCATTAGCTGCCCTAGAAGGGTAGGAATATAGGGAGTAAGAGAAGACTGGCCTACAGGGGGACAACTCCAAATGCCAGCTTCTAGAGCACTAAATATCTCTAAAGAGGCAGTTTCTAAAATCCAAGCAGGACACAAAGGGACCAGGAAGAGGGCCCAACAATACCAGATGCATGGAATGACGAGAGCCGGAGCCCAAAGTCTTAGCAAAGAAGGAAAGGAAGGAATGAACCTCGCTAGAGATCAGGCAGGAAGGCCTGGAAGCCGAACAGATGCAAGTGGCAAAGGAGAGAAAGAACCAGTGACGACCAGGACGGAAGACTGCAGTGGAGGTGACACTCAGGGAGAGAGGTGACCCATGAAGGAACGACGAGGAAATAAAAATACAGGTTGTGCTTTAAACATGCTTGGGTTGAAATGGCAAAAAAAAAAAAAAAACCTCCAAAGGAAAGCAGCTCTGTGGCTGGATTCGGAGAACAAAAGCTTGGGGGGACTTCCAGGCTTGAGATGTGACTTTGAGAGCATCTATCTAGAAGGCGACATGTGGGGGAGTTGACATTTTTTTAAAGATGAAAATAGTCTATGAATAAAATGTTGGAGGACATCTAATAGTTTGGGGACTCAGAGAGAAAAAAGGAAGCCAGGAACAAAATAGAAGCTGACTTAAAAAAAAAAAGGAAGAATTTGGACCATTCAATGTAACAGAAGGCAAGGGGATAAAGAATTTCTAGAAAGGAGTGGCCGACAGAAGTAATCGGGGCACAATGATAAAGGGGAAAGAGGTCTTCTGTCACACTGGCAGATGCAGGAGGCACCTGGGGACACGAGGTACCAAGACCAAATCCACAACCAGGACCCCACCAGCCTGCAACCAGAGCCTGGGCCTCAGCTTCTCCGCCTGGACTAAGACAGGAGAGGTGCTCAAAATATACGGATACGTGGACGGTAAAGGTGGGACACCACTGGGGGTTGACAGTTTCCTTAATTGACAGTTTCCTTAACCCTTGCAGTGCGTAGGAAAATAAACTGCAAGCCCGAGCCCTCCGGCCAGGCTGTGTCCCACACCTACAAACAGTCCTATCAGTCAACAGACACAGGTAAACCCACCTGAGGAGTTAGCTTAGACAAACTATGTGTAGAAGCAACAGGTTTTGGCGCATTTATGCTAAGTTTAGGCACAGATGAGTAACACCACCAATGGCCTAGATGTGTGATCTCTAACGTCTTGTTAGCACTAAACAGCCAGGGTTGATGGGGTAGGAGAGCAACCTGCAATCGTGACTATGCCAGCAGAGGGAGACAAAACTTACAGTAAATATAGTTTACAAAGATGTTGCTTGGAAACAAAAGGCAAAGACTGGCCTGCCTACATTTCCTAAATTAATGAGATCGTGTTTCAAGAGCAGGCGACTCCACCACACACAGGCAGTTTGTGACTGGCACACACCCCTCGGCTCAGGAATGTTGTTTCGAAAACAATAAACTCAAACCTGCTGCTCCATGGCTCCCCACCCAGAATAAATGGATTTCCTCACTGACCTTCAATGGGGCCCCCCCAAATCTGTGGGGTGCACACCTTCCTAGAGGCAGGTAGCCCTCTTAAGGGAATCAAATTCCAGATGGACAACCTCCATCTATGCTCTCACCTAAATGTGATTTTCCTGAGAGCGCCAGTGGCCCAGGCACCACGCTGGTCCCCCTATCCAGCCTCCTTTCATAAGTGATCAGCTACTTACAGAACCGAGAGACACTCTCACCCACGCGGCCGCTTTCCCCCCAGCGGCACCTCATTTTAGCTCCACAAACGAGGTGCCTCTAAATGAAAGAGTAACAGTTACAATAATCAAGGGTCATCTAACCATCACCATCAACATCATCTTACCGATCCTGGTACAAACCTTTTTGGGCTATTTCCCAGTACGCAAGGAAATACCTCTAGTGATTGGGAAACTCTTTTTTGCAAGGTAGGTGATTTGCTTTGTCAAAGCCGAAGGAGGAGCCGCAGACTGGAGACCTCCTGTAAGCAAAGTTCTCCAAAGTTCCCCTTGAACAAAGGGAAAATACAAACCACACCGTCTCTACGGGGCAGCCTGTGTACCCCACGTCTAGGCACGAAAGCCCTTCCCTGACAAACTCTCAGAGGGGCTCGTGTAACAACCAAATTCATGTATACGTCCAAATGCTTCACAAATGCCCAAGTACCTTACAAATGAGACTAGCAGCATCGTTATTGCTCTTGGTTGATAAGCATTAAGCAGTTAACACACACAGTCAGCTAAGAGCTCTCAGGCACCAGATGAAGCCACAGATATAAATTCAGACATGAAAGTCTGTAATTCAGCAACAGCATGTGACACATGGCACACCCTCAATAAGGCTGATGATGGAATGAATTTCAAAAAGGTCAGTGGAAGCATCAAACTTATTGGAAGATACATCCATCATAGCCTTGAAGTGCTGTTGGCTATTGTTGATTCCAACTAACATCTCTATATATACCCATTGGATCTTTACACTTCTCCCAGGCTGGGTGAGTCACCACCTCCTGCAACAATAGAAATTTGGCAACTAATCCGGGCTTAGGCACAAAACAAAAGCCATTTACACACAGAAGGAAAAAATTAGAGAAATCACTGCCCCCCTCACTTCTGGAATCAGCTACTTTTGTTTCATCCCTGCTTTCTGGTACATTTTTTGTAGTTTCTTTTTTTTAAAAAAAAATCTAGCATTAAGTCTGGCTGTATTGAAAAAACCTGAATCAGTATTTCATAAAAGAGCAGTGATTAATTTAGAGCCTTAATCGTCGCATTAGGACCCAGTTACTTCTGAGGAAGGACGTCTCTTTTGTTCCTTCTTTCTTTACTAGATCACAAAGGGGACAGGCCCCAGGGTCAGTACCCTACCAGGATGTCACCAAAAGTCAGGGAGGCCTGATAGAGCAGGTCGGCCGAGTAACAGCAGAGATGCCCGATGAGTTCTAAAACACGTGAGCCATAAACCTAACGCGACCCAGATGGAACAAGACAGGGTGAGGTCCCCAGCCCTCGGCGAGCCTGAACCCCGGGAAGGAGCACTAAGATGACAACAGAAACCACAGAGCAAATCCCAGCAGTGTCTGGGATCGAAGAGATCCCCATTGCTTAAGCGTTTACAGTTTGGTGGCTGTGACCTGCGGAAGCTCATCAGGACCACTGTGATGTTTAATAACCAGGGGACGTTATTGCCATGTGTGCGTGTCCGCCCGGGCGCCACGGCCCGGCATGCAGGACTCCAAGGCTCTCCCGTCCCCAGCACAGCAGGTCACAGCCACCCCACATCACCTCCCAGCCAGGATCTACGGTCCCGCACCAACAACAAGGTGTGCACTGTCCCCGACAGAAGACACAAGTTTCCATGGGACCAGCAGCAGGTAGCCAACGCCATTCGTATCTTTAAATAGAACCTCTGCGGGGCGAGGCGGGGTGCAAGCTGCAGTTTTTTTGGGAACAGTGACAAGGGATGACTTTTTGGGCTACGGATGAAAGAGAATGCAGATAAAAAGAAAGACACGGGTTAGCGTTGTTTTTTTTTCTTTATTATTAGAAATAAAAAAGGAGCCTGCTTCAGAATATGGCAGAAAGGCCTTTCCTTCTTATCATATTTCAAAACTAATCTCCTCCCAGACAATCTGAAGAGGTTTCCTTCTCGTTACAGGGGAAGGGAGTGTGGATTTTTGGTCACCGGATTTATTGCTTCCAGATGTTCGTAGCTCTGGGATTTGCTACAAGATTTCAGAGCGTAGCAGGGAGGCAGCATCAGGGGCGGGGTGAGCAGAACAGAGAGAGAAAACTGAAAGGCACCCGAAAAGGAGGGAAACTCCTCCGGGGAGACAGCACCCTTTCCATCTGCCCCAAGGAACAGGCGAGAGGCCCTTGGCTACTGCCAGGTAATCTCAGAAGAAGCGCGTATGAAGTGGAGAAATGTGTTTTTCAACTAGGTGGAGATCGTCATTTTCTTATTGCAAACACTGGACGAGATCTAGATGGTGGGCTCCTGCGCTAGCAAAACAAAGCCCGTGCTTCTGAAACGGAGAGGCAGAGCCCCCTGAACACGAGGGAAGTTCCATGCGGACGACCTTTCCTGCAAATCTGCTGTAAGAATGTATGAGCGGCTCCAAAGGACGGAGGCTCTGCTTGAAACTCTGCCCGTCTGACTTACAGCCACGTCTGGGATGGGACACTATTTCGGAAGGAGATGGAGAAAGCTTGGGGACTCTCCTGTTTTGAACTCCAGGGACGCTGTCTCTGACAGCTTCTGGAAGTAACAGATAATGGATGGGCTTCCCCAATGAGTGTTTACATTAGGAACTGAGGGACACACGAGACCTAAGTACATAACCGTCTGAAACTGTGCTCTCGCACCCGAACGAAAACATCTCCAAACCTACTGCTGATCTCGTTACGGTGAAATTCACACTCTGAATCATTTAGCAAGCACTTTTTTTTTTCCAAGTTTTTTCCATGCCTTTCATTAGCCTAATAACAAAACAACCTTGGCAGACGAGGTAAATAATAAATGAAGCCACATCACAAATATAATTATCGATGTATAAAATGCTCCCACTCTACTTGATAACCATACGCTTGCAATTTAATCAAGATTTCTGCATTTCTTATTCAATCCTTAAGAAAAAAAGAAGTCTCCACTTACTTTTACAAAAGTGAAATGAATTTAAAAACAGTACTTATTTTTTTATTCAGCAGGTCTAGGTTTGTAGTGCACAGAAATTTTTATACCCACCCGATCAGAGTAAAATTCAAAGGTGAATCAGGCTCTTTATTTCTTATCTGCTTTTTCTTACCCAGTTTTTAGAGCTGAGGGACTCCTTTAAATTTTTGAGACCCCCTAAAGGGTCTATTAACAAATAGAGCAGACTCATGGCCGCTTTCCATTCCCTCAGTCACGGCCGATCTCAAGCTGTGCTAAATGTCGGCGGGTAGCGAGTTCGCTGGTGCCTGGCATGTTTTGGCTCACACCAGGCGAGCTAGGTATTGACCGAGAATCGATATCCTTGCTCTGAAACCTGTATGTGACAATTAAATACTGCACGAACTGTTGAAACATGGCAGAGGCGAATTGCTATCGCTATAAAAACTAAACTGAATGCTTTGGAAAGACGTGGGCGAGGAGCTGCTAAAACACTGCTGTCAAATTGGGAGCAGGCGAGTTACCGAGCAAAGACTGCGGAGCAGGGCGGGCTGGGGCAGGGTTAACAGACCTACAGAATCTGGCACTCAGGTTGCTTTGCTCTTGTCTAAGGAAACCCAAACTGGAAACTGCACTTGATGCATTATGGGTATTTATTATAATAAATAATACAGGGAATTCCTCTCCATAGACACACACACACACCAATGGAGGTATGCGGAAAGATCGGAAACTAAGCCCTATTCATATATTTTAAGTGAAAATGTTCATGGCGTGTGTTGGACCATCTCCGATGATTAAGTGGCCTCGGTCAAGGCGGACACGTGGCCTTGCGAAAGGTGGGTGGAAAAGAAAGGAGCCGTCCAGTGAAGTTTCGTAGGAAAGAGACAGACACACAGATCAGAGAAAAATCTCCCTTCGGTCCCGTTCTCTGAAGATATCCAGGGTTAAGAGAGATCAGAATTCATACCCAAAATAGCTGTGATCTTCTAACTGATGGTCTCAAAAACGAAATCACAGTGGAACTCAGAGGCTCTCCAAGGCATGGCTAAGCGTCTACACAGCTTCATCTTCTTGGCGTGTAGTTCACACTACAGAACTGGGGTCTCAGTAAGCAAGGGGAAGGCAAAGGGCCGCCCCCTTTAACGCCAGATTCCCCTACCAGCTCCCTCGGCGCCAAGAGCCCCAGCTCCCCACCCTGCCTGCCGGGTGTGGCTTCGGACGCCACGGCCGGGGACCTGCCCCTTACCTTCTGCCGCTGCTGAATGTTGGCCACGGTGTCGGGCTGGAAGTCCAGCTTGTCTGTGCGGCAGAGCTTCCAGTAGAGGATGACAACAATCACCATCACCACCAGCACGGGAATGACCACGCCGACGACGACCCACAGGCTGCTGCTCTGGGACTCGGGCGGCGGCCTCTTCACCCTGTCCACGGCTGCACACAAGGGAGGGTCTCTCAGTAACCCCTCTGCTGGACAGCCCCTCTGGGCAGTGACGTGTCTTCTTCTACGAGGAACCGGGGAGGTCCCTGTCACTGCAGCTCAAGACAACTGGTTAGAGGCTGTGATCTCCTGATGCCAGGAAAGGCCACCAAGTAAACAAACACAACACAGGTTACATCAACGACACATCGGGGATCACGGTGACAGACCGAATGTGTCTACACATGGCTAATTCAATGGCAAAGCTACGTGAACTCCGGGTCTCCTGCCTTTGTTTACTCTACAAGCTCATCCTCAATTCTCACCAAAAATGAGAAATCCTAAATGTAGCCTACGAGCACTGCCTTAATTTCCTCACCAGTCTCTCCCTAAACCCTTGAAACATGGCTTTTGATCGAAATGGCTTTACTTAAGGTCCCAGCTGTGACTTTTTTAAATCACATTAAATCACTTCCTTTCTGGCTCCCCAGGGATCCTGGTGGCTGCTGTGGGTTGGGGGGTCATCCCATACCCAAGGCAGGAAGACGGTGGCTGAAAAGACGACAGAGTCGCTGGAGTCAATCAACTCGAGGCTCCAACTCGTTTTGAAAAGTGGGAACAAGCAGACTCTGAAGATGACCAGACAAGGCAAAGCGAACTGGTCACCCTCGCCAGCACCTGCCCAGCCTGGAGGAAATCGGAGAGAACAGACTACACCATGCTGGCCAACACTGGGCCCCATCGCTGCAGCAGCCAGAGGACCGAGGTGGGCACACCGGCTAGCATCGACCCAGGGGGCTCTGATACCATCAGAAGCTGCCAGGACAGACTGGTGAAAAGTAAATCATGCAAAACTGTCCTTTAGTAAAACTGGCCAGAGCTTGTTTTAAAAAAATAGTAATAGCCCGGCCGGGCGTGGCTCAGCGGTTGAGTGTCGACCAAGGATCCAGGAGATCGAGGTTCGGTTCCCGGTCAGGGCACATGCCGTTTGCGGGCTCGATCCCCAGTCGGGGGTGTGCAGGAGGCAGCCGATCAATGACTCTCTCATCATTGATGTTTCTATCTCTCTCTCGCCCCCTCCTTTCCTCTCTCTGAAATCAATAAAGATATGTTTAAAATAAATAAATAGTAATAGTTAAGTAAAATTAAATCAAACTTACTAGGAATCTGCCGCCCCCACCCCCCCCCATGGCCTTGGACAATTATGGTTCAGTCACTCTGTCCTGCCAGTGTCCTGCCCCAGCCCCGCCTCCCAGCAGCGGCCCTCGCCCTTCACTCCCCCTGCACTCCCTACTCATCGCCCCAGAGGGCTCAGCTCTTCTGAAAGCTCAGGCTCCAGTCACTAGGCTCCAAAAACCAAACGGCCCTCCTCTCTGCCCAAACTCCTCGCCCGTTAGGGCTGACTCCCAACAACCTCCCTGTGACACCACCAGTTTCTCTTTGGTCTTTTGTCCTGGCTGCGTGTATCTTGCGGACGGTACCTTATGATTTCTTTTGAGATGCATTTTACTGCACAAACGTACCACACTGGGGTACTCGAACTACCCTGCTCTTTAATATGGTCATGGCTCTAAGTCTCTCCTATTCAAATACATCTCGGGGACCACGCTTCATGCCCTTTTCGCATCCAATAACGGTCAACACGTGCCCTGGGATCGAAAGGCTTCTGCTCAAAGACGTAACGATGAAAACGATTCTCGGTGCTGCTTTTAGTTTGGGTTGAGGCTCCAGAGAGAGTGACAGGGGAGGGGACCCAGCTCTCTACAGCGCACACTATGCAGGATGCACAAATCACAGAGCAGAGACGAGGCGGGAAACGGGAAAGGTGACGGAGTGATAGGATGTTATACTTTTATTTATTTATTTTAATTATTTTAATTTTTTTAAAAAAAATTATGTATTGATTTTAGAGAGGGGGTGAAGGGGGGAAACGGGGGGGTAGGTCAATTTGTTGTTCCACTTACTTGTGCACTCATCGGTTGGTTTTGGTTTGTGCCCTGACTGGGGCTCAAACTATAACCTTGGTGTTTCCGGACGATGCTCTCAACAACTGAGCTATCCCGGCCAGGGCGAAGTTTATATTTTTTAATTTGGCCTAAAGATAGCTCATTTTGCATGAAAACAACTAAAAATACAGAAGGAGGGACAGAATCACACTGAGGGGCTAGGGCAGCTGGATGCTCTTCTTAATTCTAACCTAGTAAAACCCTGTGAGAGGCACAGTGGATCGAAACGGGGCCCACAGCTGCCCTGGTGTTGGCTGGGGCTTCCAATCCCAGGTTACCCCTGAGTTTTTTAGCACGAAAGGGAGGAAAGAGAGGTGCAAAGGGCAGATGGAAGTGGGCTGGAAAGGTGCCCATACCCTACCCTACTGCAGTTCATCTTTTTAAAAGGTCAAGTGTTTATCTGGAGTGGGGCACCTCTCCGACAACCAGAAATGTCATATGTGAAAAAAATGTTAAGTACGTGCTTTATTTTTTCTCACTGCTTTGGAACAGAGCACACTAATATACAATCATATCTCAAACACACACACACCACCGACGGCTGTTTGCTGAAAGTCTCCCAGCACCTTCTATAAAATAGAGAGAGTGTGCCCATCGGCCCTCGTCCTGGTAAGTGTCCAGGGACCAGTGCAGATTTCACGAAGAATCTCCCACTGCCGAGGATAATTCTGAAGCTGTCATTTTTTTGAAACGGCCTTTGTCACCTATGTGTTCACTCTACAGAGTTTCCCAATGTTCTTTGATGCTGAATTCCTTCTAAACATTGACTTACCCTTTATGTCGGGAGCGAGCATCCCTGAGCTTTTACAAGGACTGCTCTCAGGATCATAAAGGAAAAACAGTCACATTAAAATAGCAGTCTGATTCATAAAGGTATATTTAGAGAAATCCACCCTTCCATGCCACTCTTTTTCTTAATTTTAAATATCCAAAATCGGTTAGTTGGAAAAAAGGCGCTGAGAGCAGCCCTTGCCAGGGGCACAGGGGCCTACTATCTTCCAAAAATAATAAAGAAATATCAAAATAACCTCATTCTAAATTGCGGAGTGGTGTGAGGCTAGGGTGGGAGAGAAACAGGATTGAAAACGGTAAGGACCAAGGACTTCTTTGTGTTAAAAGACCCAGAAGGAAGCCAATAAATGCAGAGGGCACCTCCCAGCTTCCTGCGTGACTCACTGTCCCCACCAACGTTCAAAATATGACATGTAAGGTTTTGGAATAAATACAGAGAAAACATGTTATTTTACCTAAGACAAGTTTTCAAAAAGAGAAATAGGACAGGAGTGGGGGGGGGGTTAAAGTTAACTTGAGCTACTATAACTCACTCGAACGCTATGAATACAAAATACTAGGTAGGAAAAACAGCAGTGAAGGCTACAACTACCAGCATTGGAAAGAAAGGTCTTTTCAAATCAATTTTAACAGCTAACCTCTTATGTAAGTGCCACTTAATAATATGGGTGTAAGACATACGTCTGTTATACCCCCAGAAGAATGCTTCGACTTCAGAGTTCAGTACTGGCCAGCGTGCTCCATGGTCAGAGCACTGGCCCGTGTACCCAAGGGTCACGGGTTCGATTTCTGGTCAAGGGCACCTACCCAGGTTGCAGGTTCGATCCACAGCCCCAGTCGGGGCACACAGGGGAGGCAATAGATCAGTGTGTCTCTCTCACGTCGATGATTCTCTCTCTTTTTCTCTCTCTCTCTCTCCCCCTCCCTCCCTCCCTTCTACTCTCTCTAAAA